TATATAAAAATAACAAAATAAACTTGTACATTAAATAACAATCTTTTGGAAATCTTTCCTTTCATCATTGAAAAACTGAATGCCTTATATGTGGCTCTTTCTTTTAATCCACTTATAAGAGGAATGTATTTTGAGATTTAAAATAATTAAAATTTCACTGATTAGCTCAAAGACAATGATTAAATGCTTTAAAATGCAGGAATGAAAACATTTTTTGCAGGCTGAAAGTCTACCCATATGATCTACTTTGCATGTTTTGACTGATCTGTGGTGGTCATAAAGAAAGCTAATATCTGGCCAGGCTTTTAGATGACCGAACCTTTGAAAGTATTGTTGAATTTTGAAAAATCAACAACACAGGAAGACTTTCCAGTTATTTTGGTTTTATTTGGAAGTCTCTGAGAGAAAGATTCTTACACTGTTACTGGTTGGAAAGTGTAATGAAATCTGAGACTCAAAATGATATATTTTTTAAAAAGAATACTTTGCAGTACAACACATGATTTACCAGAATACAAGAAGAGCAGTCTCTGGATGAGTAACAGAGTATATCACCTCCAACATTGCTTGAGATGTTACGGTACTATTTGTTACTTCTCTATCAAAGAGAATTTTTATGACTACACTGGTACATATGTTGTTTTACAACATAACCAGGACTTCCACATAGGCATACACAAGAAAGTTTACAAAAGTTTGAATTAGAAAATGTATTTCCATAAAATTAATTGATGGGTTGGAGATTGATTCAATACAAAATCCTTACATGCATATGAATTAAAAGGAGGCCATGTATTATCCCTCTGATCATCTCCAAACACAAGGATCTACAGAACCTGTTTTACCAGAATGATGAAACAAGCATGGCAATGTCATGACACAAACCCCACCTGTTTTTATGAGCATGTGATGCCACACTGCACATACAAAAGTATGGAGCTTGTATCATAATGCTCATTTTGTCATTTGCCTCCCTTTTCTCCCCGTGGATGCTGACGACTCCAATTTTTTCATTTGGTGCAATAATTCAAACTCTAGCTATTCTGAGGTGAAGACTATGTTTGACTCCTAAATTTCCAAAATTGCCATACTAAGCATACCAGAATGTTATGAATTCCTTATTCCACTGACAACAGCTGTCATCATCAAAGATAAAAGGACAAAGCTGTACTTTAGAGAGGGTAATATATTGTCCTATAATCCCTGAAGTAAGCTGCAAGACTACTGATTAAAGATCTTTGCTCACAGGAACAAATAGCCAAATATGGAACAAAGTCCCTTGTGCACCAGATCTCTTTCAGTGTTTAGTGTATTTCAGATGGCAATAAATGTTAAATAAGCAGAATTGAAATCTGTGTGCAAATTAAACTGGGGGGACTGATCCATAGGTAACTCCCTCCTCAAATGTTTGTTAATCTCACGGATATAAGAATATTTTATTGCTAACATCACTTGATACATTGGATCAATATATTTCTAGCTAGCTGGATAGTTAGCTCCAAAGTATAAGGGATCTAGATCATTCTCTCTTACAAATTAATCTTGGAACAAACTTTTGTTTTTGCTCAACTGAACCCATGAGGGCTTAACTGTATCTAAATCAGCTTTTAATTTACTATCATCAAGGGGAGTACTACCAAGAAATAAATCTCTAACTTTAATACCTTTCTGCTACTAACTATTAATTGCAAGAATTTATCCCAGTGGTACAGTAAAGGCTGGTATAAAAGAAGACAACTAGCGGATGACTAGATGCCAGAAACTGTCCCCCTTTTTTCTAAGTAAGCAAACCATTCTATAAAATTGATTCAAAATAGATTCAGTAACTTTCCTTGGCAACAGATTGAAAGGATAATGCTCCTTCCAAAAAAAGAAAAGAAAAGAAACCACACCAGTTTCAACTGCTGGCCCTGGTCCAGCTTACTTGTTGCAGATCACAGCCATCACAGAAAAAGCTTTAAATACAATTATATATTGGAAACAGCTTTTGCTCCATTTACTCTCAAGTAGAACAGAGCTGATTGGAAAATCCTAGATTCTTCCCTCCACATACAAACTAATCCCATATACTCTGCAATTTTTAAAATTTAGTGGCGATAAAAATGGATCAAAAGAAAGAATTTAGGCAATACATACTATTTTGAAAATCCAATCTTCATAACAAAGAAAAAAAAGCAATTATTCTGATTTTTGTAATGTCTTTTTTAGCTGCTTAATTATTGCATTATAATTTTAAGCAGCAACTGGCCTATATCTTTAGTCATTTGGATTTCCAAGCACAAACTAGTGAAGTTAGTTGAAGAGATAACTGTAATCATTGGAAATGCATGCCAATAAAGGGTTCCAACTTTTCACAATTTTTTTTTTAAATCTGAAAGGCTTGAAATAGAAAAGACACTTAAACATATGTACCTTAAATAACTGTGGTCTTATTTTCAACAGATTAGATAAAAACAGTAAGTATATCATACACAAACATTGAGAGTGTGAAATATATCATTAAGTGGTATTCCCTTAATCTAGGAATCCTCTCTAATGATTCTAGCTGACAGCTGTAATGAACTTGCAAAATGGATTAACAACAATGCAAACCCTATTATATCCCTATTTGAATATGAAAAAAATCTGGAGTTAGAACTAGTAACAAGGATTTGCACTTTGTAAGTACTAAGAAGCTGATATATTAACATAATAAAAATATTCCTGATTTTTATCTTTTTGATAGATAGAGGCTGTGGCCAGGAGAGCCTTTGCAGAATTACATCTTCTCTAACTACTGAGGCCTTTCTTAGATCAAGCGGCTTTATTTGCAGTCACTCATTTACTTGCCATCTTTAGACTAAAATACTGTAATGTGTCCCATATGGGGCTTTCTTTGAAGACCATTCAGAAGCTTCAGCTAATGCAATATGGGTCAGTCAACAGCTTGGGGTGACTGACCCATGTTGCATTAGCACACCAAGGTTCACACAGATAAGACCAATACTATGAGAGCTGCATTGGCTGCGAGTTAGCTTCTGGATGCAATTGAAGGTGCTCACTGACACCTTTAAAACCCAGCTTGGGTCAATGCCTGAATATTTGCATAAATACATTTTCCAAGTTGCATCTTCCCACTTACTAAGATCTGGGAGAGAAGGTTTGCTGAGGGTCCCAATACCAAGAGAATGGCATCTTCAGGGACCCTGGGCTTAAGCCTTCTTAGTGATGTCCCCCCTCCTTGGGAGTAGCTTACGCCAGATATCTTCTCATTATTACATTTTCAGAGATCTGTAAAAACATGTCTTTTCAGAAAGGCATCTGGGGATGAGTAAGATGATGTTACTCCTAAATAGTAACACATCAAATTGATTGATTATAATGATACTTATTTTTGTTTGTAATCTTATTATATTAATATGGATATACTGAAAGAAGACGTATTAATATATTATTATAATAAATCAATAAATCATATTGATTAAATTATATTCAATTAGTAAATGCAAATTGTAGCAGCAAACAAACAGATAAGTACATCTGTAAATAAATAAAAACAATCTTTCAAAGGCCTTCATTCCATCTAGATAAATGACTAATAAACAGCTAATACACAATAATGTATTATATTAGTTATCCAAATTATGGAATGTTATGTTTCAAAGAAGCTCACTGGATCAGCTGAAATAACATGGTCTATGTATCCGTTGATCAATTTTTCAATTATAGAGGCTATGATGTTATTATTTTAATTTAGCAATGCACTTTTTATTTTACTTTATTTTGCTGCCTTCAAGTCAGTCTTGGTTCCTGATGACAAGTCCAGGCAGTTTTTCTTAGCAACATTTTTGAAAGCAGTTTGCCCTTGCCTTCTTCCTAGGCCGAGAGAGAGGAACAAGTCACCCAGCTGGCTTCAGGCCTAAAGAGGAACTAGAATTCACAATCTCCTGGTTGCCTTAAACCACTACACCAAACTGGCTCTCATAAATCTATTGATCAATTTTGCAATTGTAGAAGCTAGGATATTATTATTTTGATTTAGCAAGGCAATTAGAATACATGAATGTACTAAAAAAAAGTTCTCATATTGTTGTTTTACTTACTGGATGCAATGAATGAATTTCCCACAAAGTGAAAGTATAAATATATTAACTAGAACTAAAGGTGCAGACATATCTCTAATGTTTAATAGATGACAATTAGGGCTCTTTGTGATCATTACAGCCAATTACTTCCTTCCTCTTTGCTATTGGATATAGTACCCACTTGATACACTTGTTCTATTCTACTTCTAATAACAATGTTTTCCTTTCCTTTTTATTCTCCTTAAACATTAATCACTTATTCTCATTGTACAAAACAAAGCTGTCTCACTCCTGATGGGGTTTTCTTCTTTTTCAGTGCTAGAGATCAAGCATTCCATGAACTCTCATCTTGATATATGCCAACTAAAGAAATTCTGGCAATGATGCTATTCTTTATAGTGGGGATATTATATGGCATTAAGCAAATCTGACAGATCTGCACATTTTTTCCTCTGGGTTAAGGGCCTCTCCGTAAAGTAAGGGGTGGGGCCAGGATTAAATTTGATTTCATTTAAATTAAACTAAATTAAATATACTTACAATGATTTTTCTCCTGTCATATATTTCATAAATATCTCTTATCTGTCACAATAAAAATTACACTTGGGAATTGTTTTTAGAGGTGTCTGGCAGTTGCACAGACACTGTGCAAAAGATCATGGAAGACTATGGCTGACCAGAAACATATATCAAGATGTAAATTCTCTTTGCCTGTACAAGGAACTCATTTTAAGTTAGAAAAATAATTACATGCAGAAGAGAACATTTTGTCATGCAAGGACACATTAAATAAAACCCTCTGTATTTATACAAACACTGATTATTAAAAAAGAAGAAATTAAAACACAGTACTTGCAAAGAATAGTTTTGGTCTTCCTACTGCATCTTAGTTCACAAGGAGAAATCTCATAACAAGCTTGGGTGCACTCAACATAC